GCCCTGTAGCTCTCTGAAGGTAGTTTCAGTGCCGACGCTCTTACGTTCATGGTCTTCGGCTGGCTTGATGACGGTACGACCTAGGCCTAGATAGCACTGCATCAAGAACTGGAATGCTTTCTGCCCGAATAGTTTTGCCATATATGCTCGATGTGCGTAGATGTCTCCGCATGTCTTGACGCCTATGGCATCCAGCTCTCGTTCGAAGACGCGACCGATACCATTGACCTTTCGCGTAGGCAGGGTCTTCATAAATTCCATGATAGTCTGCCTGTCGCTAGGGAGCAGAAACTGCCCATTTGGCTTGTTCTGATTTGAGCAAATCTTGGCCAGCTTAGCATTCGCGGCGATGCCAGCAGAGACGGTGATCTTGGCTCTTTCAAAGACGTCTGCCCGCATCTGGCTAACGGCTTCCTCAGGCGTCATGTTGTGCTCCTTGCAGTATTCTGTCAGATTCAGGTATGCCTCATCGCAACTCGCACTTTGGAAGTCGGGGTCGTATAGCGCCAGTACTTCGCGGACCTCTTCTGCCTTGGCCATGTATTTCGCGAAATTCATAGGAACGCAGATGAGCTGTGGACACAGCTTCATCGCAACAAACCCAGCCATTCCGGAACGACAGCCAAACTTGCGTGCATGGTAGTTGCAGGTCGTCAGCACGCCCTTGCCGACGGCGAACGGAACGTCTTTCAGTTCCGGGCGATCTAGCTCTTCGACTGCCGCATAGAAAGCGTCGCAGTCGAGGTGTACGATGACCTGGCTCAGGTCCCTGCTCAGCTCCAGCTCAGCGATGTAGTCATCAGCTCTGCGTTGGTCGGAGGTCAAGTCGATCTTCTCCAGCTGGCGTCTCTTTTCCAGGATCTTGTTGATCTTCTCGGTGAGGTTCTTGTCCTTGACCTCCTCATTGTTGAAGAACTTGGAGCCCTTGGACGCGTTGTAGATGACCTCAGAGACCTTGGATTGGTCTACACTGTCTTGGCCAGCTTTGGTGAGCGATGGGCCGAGGAGGTGGTACTTTAGGGAGTCGTGCTCGCTGGACGTGGTTCGGGCGGGCTGCGGCCGCGCTGGTATATCTCGGGAGGTGTCATCTCCTTTGGCGGAGGTCATGGTGGTTGCGGTGGCCACTCGAGGCAGGTCGGACGCGTCGTGACTACGGTGACTCGGTGCATGCTGGGGCACGTGTGAGCGACGGGGCTGCGCGCATGATGGTGGTGAATGGGCGGACCCTGCATCGCTCATGGTAGGTGGGGGGTCATTTTGGGAGGGCGACAGGAGGCCCCATAAAAACGCGAGATGAGGCCCTGGAGAGGTCATGACGCGCTTTCACGTCTACTCCCCACTGGGACTAGCGGCGTTTGAAACCCTCCAGGATCACTCAGGGCCACCAAAGTTACTTCATCTCGCACCAACACAGACGCCTCCCCACCTGAACCCTTCTCCTGCTCCTGTCTGGCCCTCGACCATGGACTGGACGCCAACCATTTGCACTCCTCCACCGCTGGCATTGTAGAAGTGGGGCAATACACGTAGAGCGCCGTGCTGTATGACCTGCAGACATCCGACACGCTACTAGCGTCCATCAACACACCATCGTCAACACCGCCATTACCCCCCAAGCAGCGCCCATTGCCCCCCGGCAAGGCCATGATCTCCCTCCGCATCCGCAGTATAATACACCAACTATAGCCGCAATCACCAGAGGATGCCCATCGAACGAACCGACCGAAATAACCCACGGCCGCTGAAGCCGACGCTCGCTAGCACCCGAACCGCTGCGAAGACGCCCTTGACCCCGAGACTTGCAGTTGCGCCCACCGCCTCCTCCACCGTCAGCTCCTCGAGCACCCGCACCGCCCGCACCAGCAATGGCACCACGCCCAAGGTTGCGGCCCCGGCTCCCTCGCACAACGAGGTGACGCCCATCAAGCCCTTCCTGAGCAGCAATGTCACGCCTCGCTCTTCCACGAGGAAGTCACGGGTCGGCGTAGACAGCGCTTCGTCTACGCCCAGCGGCACCCCCTCTGTCACCCCGAGCAGCTCGCGACCAGGTTCCACGGTAGACCACCACACCAGGGAGCAGACTGGCGGATTCAGTGGGCACAGCGCTGTTGGAAGGAGCGGCTCATCAGCGGTAGGGGGGCGACCGCGCAGTACACCGGGTCCAAGCAGCAGCCATGCCACCCCGACCCCGAGGCCCTCGCTCTCCATGTACAATACCGCTCCGTCCGACGCTGGCAGGAAAGACGCTTCATCCCTGTTCTTCCACGCCAACGACGCACGTCCGCACGAACAACCAGCACCGGTACTGGCACCCACGAAGAAGGCGCCCGCATTCTTCTACGCCGACGGAAGACAGGATGAGCCCCCTGCGAAGCCCACCGTACCATCGCCACCGCTGTCGTCCCTGGGGAGATCCCAGCCCGAGAGCAAGTTCTTCCATGCCGACTCCCAGCCCGAAAGCAAATTCTTCCACGCCGACTCGCTTTCCGAGAGAAAGGACCGCCAGCCAATCCTCACTCCGCCACCTCCCACATCTCCAGACCTGCTCCCGCCCCTGGAAAGCGGAAATGGGGGGTCGCTTCGCCCGCCATCGCCTACAAAGGACTTTGCACATCTCTCATATCGTAAGGGAGCCTCTCAGGTCCGGCCAGCCCTCAGTAGAGGCAGTTCAGGAAACTCCGCCTTGGCCATGTTGACTGGATCTAACACACCAGATGTGTCCGATGGCCCCAGACGGAGATCAAGCGTCGCCTCCACTATAAAGCGAGGACATGTCAAGAGCTCCAGTCTGTCGTCTATCGACTCCGTGACGAGTGCGAGGAAGGCATCGACCAACGAACCATCTGCTATGCAGCCAAGCCCGCTGCAGACTGAGAATCGTGCCGCCGGTAATGCCTCCGTACCCGATGATGCAGCACCCACGCCCGCTCGTCGCTACACCGCATTTTCCCCTGTTGGATCCCCAGTATCAGCAAGCCCAACAAGAGACGGCAAGAGGAATAGCGACACCAAGAGTGCACTTGAGATGATGAACGAACTTGCTGCCAATGCACGAAGGGAGCGTAAAGTGCTTGACCTCGAAATCAGCAACTCTTCGCTCCTTGCTATCAACAGATCATTGGAGAAGGAAGTCCGAAAGCAAAAGGCGGAGCTCAGACGCTTCCGTCGCATGAGCCGAGCTGGGCATTTCTCTGCTGATATGGCTAGCTCGCCTCCTGAAACTTCTGCCATTGGCTCTGGAAATATAGGGGACCTGTCGGACATGTCTGAAGCAGAAGAGGAGGACGAAACACCTGAGGAGGAAGAGGATGACCCAGAGGACAGCGAGTCTTCTTTCGACGAGGGTGCTTTGAGCCCGAGCGCTCAGCTAGAGCGAGACGAAGCACACCGCTCACGTGACGAAAAGCGTCTCCAGCTCGACCTCTCCAAACATCGCGAGATGTTGAACGACAGCCAGAAGATGAACCAAAGCCTTAAGAAGTGTCTCGGGTGGACAGAACAGCTGATCAAAGACGGCCAGAAGGCGTTGGAGTACAAAGTGCACGTCAGCGATGTCAAGATTGGTGGCCGCGTGCTTGTTGCGGAAGACGACGACAACGATGCCGCCGAACCGCAGGAGTCTAGGGGTCTTCTCAGCCCTTGGAGTCCAATACACAACGCCATCGACGCACTAGACTCACCTTTCTTCCCTCAATCCGATCGCGTCATCGACCGGGACAGCGGTATAGACCTCGAAGGTCTCGAACACATGGAGCATCACAGCGACGACTCTCGTGCAGCATCACCCACGGACGACGGTCAAAACCAGTCTAATAGTCCTGTCAAGGAATTCCGTCCCAAACTACCCGGTACATGGATCTCCTACGCAACAACCCGCGAGTCCGACCTCAAGAAACACGAGACCCTCAGCCCTCTGGGTTCGCCCTTCGAAGAGCGAATCAGATACCTCCACGCGTCTATTGACGCTCTGGAAGCATCTTCATAACCACACACACATACATACGCACGCACGCACAGCTCCCACTTATCTCTCTCTTGCTTTGCTCAACTTTGCACATACCCAAATTCTCTTCTTTCGCATGCATAGGGCACAACGGCGTTACACCATAAAGGACATTTGCATTTTCCACCTTACTTCCAAACCGGCGCACAACGGCACAAATGCGTCGAATGCGATTTCGACGCCCCCCACGACCATTTCCTTTGTTCTTCCTTTTCCACTTTCTCTCACGGCCGCCAACATATACATACACACTCTCGTTCAACTCCATAATGTTTTTGAATCTACGGCCTTCGTCGAATCTTGGAAAAGATCTCGTCGTCTGGCTGTTTACTTACTTGGGCTTGTGTCTACGCGTGTTGTGTGCACAAAGTCAGTTCGGTTTTTATGATACCCCACCACCTACTACTCAACTACTTGCGAGAGAGAGAGTTTATATTAGAAATCTTTACATAGCCAATATATACGTTGCTTTACATTTTGAAAGAATTTTACTAAGATGCAGTGTTGTACGCTGATTTTAGAAGGGTTTTAGGATTGCACACGCTCGAAGGTTATCGAAATAAGGTCGCTTCGACGCGTTACGTTGCTCAGATTTAGGTTCAATACCCACGTGAGTACAACGCTTTACTTGACCACAAAATGTTGAGTAGGCATCCCTGTTCTACACACGACCGTCTGTCGTGAATCACACAAAAAAACTCACTTCAACAGCCAGGCATGCACAGGATGACAATAACATCCATAACGTCGAGTCCAGTGTCAATTGAAACAGACAATGAACAATGTGTGTACTTCCATTGAGGTATGATAAAACACCGTCTATGTACGAACATGCCTAGAGAAACGCATTAATCCATAATACATCCCTCTACCGAAGTAGGCAATACATTAGCAGAGAGTGCCAGCCTTGATCTACGGGTATCCTCGCAAAGAAAAAGCAGTAGTAAGAGTAACGCGACAATCCTGAAAGGTGTGAAGTATGAGAAGTGAAGATAACCTAAGCCCAGTAACCGAGTAGAGCCATCAAACCTGATGTTACGTTAGTAATAAGTCACGTGAGTGGGGGAAGGGAAACGACGTACCAGCACCAAGAACCATAAGGCCAAACGCCTTAAGCGTCCTACTAACAGGCCCCTTCTGCATATACGGGCTAAACATAAACTCATGCGCCATAAGCTCCACAAGACCCGTGTAAATAAGAATACCAGCGGAGATGGAATCGAAAACACCATTCGTCAACAGCGTAGTCCTGCTCTCAGGCGCAAAAGACTGGCGCACGCCCAGACCAATAGCAATAGCAATGGGCGTGGAGATACCATAGCCGAGACCAAGCAAATACGGGGTCCAGCGCTTGGACGCAGGCCAGGGGACTTCCGCAAGACGGGTACCCAGACCGAGGCCTTCGAACATTTGGTGGAAGACGAGGACGATGTAGAGGGTGATGAATTCTTCGCCGGCCACGGCAAGGGTGAGGCCGATGAAGATGGAGTGGAAGATGACACCGAATTCGAGGATGAAGACGGCGGTTAGCTGCGAGGCGTAGCCGTCTGGGACGAGGGGGCGGGGTGCCATGTCGGACTTTAGCTCGGCTTCGTGGTCGCGTTGGTGGCCGAGGTGGTCGTCGCCGCGGATGTTGTGGTTGGTGCTGCTGACGGTGCTGCCTTCGAGGTCGTGGGCTTTGTTGTCAGCGTGGGCGGCTGGGGAGATGCCAGTGGGTTCGTGGCTGTGGTCGTGGTCGCTGCCGAACTTGGCGTAACGCATCGTCATGAGCTCAAGGAAGAACATGAGAAAGAGCGTCATCAGGGCGATGCCCTCGGGCCAAGGGTACGCGGCGATAACGCCGGTCAGACATTCGTTACCGAGAGCTTCGTTCGCTGGAGCTAGTAGATGGATGAATGCCGTTGTGATGATAACACCTGAACCGAAGTACTTGGCGGCGAAGAAGACCCAGTTGGGGACCAGCTTGCTACGGGAACGTCTTGCTAGAACGGGGAACATGGCACCTGTGTGATGTTAGGATGCGAAGATCGGCGTGGTTCTGTTGTACATACCGAAGCTGGACGCGACCAGGATGACGAAGATGGATGAGATACGGGTGCCCATGCGGCCATCGTACTCGTTGTCGCCGCCGCAGGTGATGACCTCCTCAGGTTGAGACTCTGCGCCTTCATCTTGACGGAGCACAAGGCGTGCAATATTGAGGGCGGTAGAAGCCATGTTGGTGTATGAAGCACTGGGTATCGAATGAAGAGAAGTGATAGTACGGAATGTTCGCTTGACACAAATTTAGACAGATGTACTTCGATGTTGTCGATCTCTGGTTGGCGTGGACCCGAGCGACCCAGATGTTTGGTACTGGTTCAGTGGAGAAGGAACCCTCCTGAGAAGCTTGGTTTGGCTGGGCGTGTCTTGTGCAGTCTTGGGTAACAACAACCACTATATATTGGATCCTTTGGACGCAATCAAGCACCTTGATGGACAGATGAAAATGCTTGACGGTACTTTGATGGGGCTTCAGGAAGGATTCACGGAGTACGGAACTGGTTGGACTTGTGAAGGCGGGCGATACACCAGAAGGGTCCTACTCAGAGTACCCTGATGGTGCGCTAAGGGCGAATATTCCACTGGTGCATAGCTTGCAGAGCCTATGGGGTCCAGTATAGCTGTCACTCGTGGGGGAGGTGTATGTAAAGCGCCTTTGAGAGCGCGCCGAACGTGGGATTTATTTCAATCATGGTGTTGGTATGGCATGTGCGACGCTGCGGTTGGTACGATGCGGCGAACGTGCGTTCAGTAGTAGTCAGCCGCAATCCAAGGCCCGATTCCACTTACTGGAGCTAGGACCTGCCAAAACCTCAACAGGCCCACGTCTACATCAATTTCTGAAGCCGCATAGCCGCACGCCTCGACCGAGAGAACGTGAAGGCGACAGCGCGATGCGCGTCTTACACGACCCGGGCCCTCGTTCAAAGGCACAAGTGTCTGATCACTGGCGTCGCGCAGTGATGCAGGATGCGGTGCATCTACTACAGACACTGATGGAAGATACTGGCCGCGTTCCTGGCTGGAATGAAAAATTGAAGTCGCTAGCTTGCGCGCATTCGAAGCTGAACTTCAAGTTCAACGGCGCAATCATTCCGACTCTTCCGAATTCCGACTGACAGTTCCTTACGATGCAGGCGCCCAAATCAGAAGGCACGATCAAGCTGGCGCTTCGAAATTGCTGAAAGATCTTGAAGGATAACTCCGAGCCGTGCCGGAACCTTGACAAAGAAGATTACTTTGACGACAGCCAAAAAGAGGAGGCGGGCTACGCGGTGGTAAGGCTTGCAAAGCCATCAAGTACCGAGCAGGTAGCCGACAAGGCCTGGCAGGCTTGCGCGAAGATCTGTACATCTTGGTGAAGCGGAGGAAATCTTCTGTTCAGCTGATGAGGCTGTCGCGATGTACCTGCTTGGCGCATTGCCGGATACAACATACAAGGCTGTCGATCTACGCAAGTCGCAGTACCAGTTGTAGCAGGTAACTGCATCTAGGTTTGACCGGCCGCGCTGATGTGAGGGTGTACAGGCGTATGCACTCCGCCTTCTCCGCACTGCCGCGTGATCCGGTGACATGTACCTAGGTATTGTCTCAACACATGAGGTGATGGACGGCGATGCGCGTCTACAATGAAGAGTCGTCTGGGATGCTGGCTATAAAGTGCAAAGCTATGCACTTCGGGCCGTTCGGCTGTCGAGTAGCTCTGGATGGTTGGTCCACATCACACCACCGTGAGGGGCTGTGGACTGACGGAATGTAAAACGCGCGCCAATGTGCAGTGGGCGGGGTCGCGTCGCATATACTCGGAGTAGAGCTCGATGGGCATGGCGATGTCAGCAAACTCGATAGAATCGAGGCGATCGTGGGACCCATCCGTGAGACACATGCCGGCGCACGGAGGAGGAGATCGAAAAGTTAATACAATCGGTGGTACTGAAACCGGTTTGCCAGGGCTAGAATGGGAGCAGTGGGAGCTGCTGGGGGCGTGCACAGCGCGTTGCTGTGGGGAACATCCTGGACGGCTTGGCGTGATGAAGCACTGATGATGTACCAAAGTACCTCGCGCCTGCCAGCCCGCCCCACCCCACGAGAGCGCTCAATGTCGCAACCACATGGGCAGAGTGAGTGAATTGACAGCCAGCTTGACAGCGCTGCCATGATTACAATATGTTGGCGCAGCCGGCGGAGACCCTTATTCTGAAGCTCCAGGCGCAGAGCTGGCGTTGGCGCATCCTTGCTTCTCACGCAGGCCGTAGCGGGAACCAATCAATAGTGCATGCCGTGAGGGGCTATGACGTCTCGATTCCTGTTTCGTATAGCTCCTGCCGCAGCTCCAACAGGTGACCGCATAGCTGCCTAGCTTCTCCTCTTTATAACTCCGCCTCGTCTCACCCGATTCCTGCTTCTCATTGTCAACTCTCCCATAGATCCCTCAGCACCAATTGTTGCTGTACAGGTCCCGGAGTCCCATCACAACACCAAACCGCCACCATGATTGAGGAAGTCTTGAAGAAGACCTCGGAGATGTTCCCGCTGCCCACCGCGACGGCCTCGTCGCTGCCTTCGGTTGCTCCCATCCCAACCGTCGCGCCCGGACCTGAGCCCACCTACGAGGTTGCCGGCGATGCTGGAATGAAGACCCTCTGGGTTGTTTTCGTTCTCATGCTGATCGCCTCTGCCGGTTTCACCGTCATGTCCTGGAAGGTGCCTTTGGTGAGTACCATCTGGAGCTGCATCAGAGAGCAAATTCTAACACCCCCCAGAACAAGCGCCTCTACCATGTCATCACCACCATCATCACCCTCACCGCTGCCCTCTCTTACTTTGCCATGGCCTCCGGCGCTGGTGTCTCCCTCAAGAAGGAGGTCGAGCGCGAGCAGCACGACCACGTCCCCGACACCTACAACGTCGTCTACCGCCAGGTCTACTGGGCCCGTTACGTCGACTGGACCATCACCACCCCTCTCCTGCTCCTCGACCTCGGTCTCCTTGCTGGCATGTCCGGTGGACACATGATCATGATGGTTGTTGCCGACATCATCATGGTTCTCACTGGTCTCTTCGCTGCCTTCGGTACTGAGGACACTGCTCAGAAGTGGGGCTGGTACACCATCTCGTGCATTGCCTTCCTCTTCGTCTTCTGGCACCTTGGTCTTAACGGTGGTGCCAACGCCCGCGCCAAGGGTGACAAGCTCCGCGGTTTCTTCATCTCCATCGCTGCCTACACTGCCGTCCTCTGGACTGCCTACCCCATGTAAGTCTCATCCATACTCACGCCTCCCGAATTCGTACTAATCCATTCCAGTGTCTGGGGCATCGCCGATGGTGCTCGCAAGGCCAGCGTCGACACTGAGATCATTGCCTACGCTGTTCTCGATGTCCTCGCCAAGGCTGTCTTCGGTGCCTGGCTCTTGGTTGCCCACGCCAACATGCGCGAGAGCGATGTTGAGCTCAACGGCTTCTGGGCCAACGGTCTCAGCCGCGAGGGTGCCATCCGCATTGGTGAGGATGACGGTGCTTAAATGTACCTCATCAGCACAACAATTGCCTCTCGTGAGCATGTCAGCTGTGTCATGCCACGAGTACGGATTGATTCGACAAGCATGGTTCACCTTGACTAAAAGGGCCTGAACCAGTGATGAAGAAGGAAAAAGCGTACGCGGCATGTTCAGCTTCTGACTGTCCTTTAGGCAGTATCTCTCCTCAATGATGTAACTTTCTCATTACCGGAGTTGGAGGCTTGTCAATAGTCACGGGATTGGACGCCCATAATATGGACGTTTTATAGTTAATGCGATAATGATACTGCTCTCGAACTCTCTTCCATATGAACCCGTGCCGGCTTACCGCCGAGCTCTTCTAAGCTGCCGCACCAGTACAATGAACAATACGAGTGATGTAATTTGGCCCTTTAACCCTTTGACCTCATCTCATCTCACGTAGTCAAGTGTCTTGTTCGAATGTCTATATAATTGGCATGCTTGGCTCGTTGTTGAAGTTACCCAACATCGATACCTTCGAGCATCACCAAGATCAAACATGTTCTCCTCACTCTTCTCCGTCGCTGTCGCAACTCTCTTGATGCAATCAGCATCCTCATCGCCTCTCACAACACCACCTCCTTCTCTCTCGCCCACACCATCGCCTACACCTTGCACCAAGACTGTCTTCACATTCCCTGAGCTCCAAATCGGAACCTGCACCTTCAACGCCACAACAACGACGTCTACCGTCTTCACCGACTGTGCCGGATGTGCGCTTGAGACGATTAACCTTGGTGGTCTCGGACCGGTACGTACCCTTTATACTATTCTGGTTATTGGTGGATGTAGTAAGCTGACTGTGGTGGTGATTTGTGTAGGCGTGCCAGGCTGTTACGACGGTTCCGGGGACGAAGACTGCGACTGTTACGGCTTGTCAGTCTGCTTAGGTTGAGATGGATGTGAGGTGGTAGGTGGTAGGTGGTAAATGATGGTCGGTCTTTTTCTTGTAGCTAGCTTCTTTGGTGGTGATGTTTAGTATGGTATGTAGGATATTGTGTACAAAGAATATGCCTATGCTCCTCTATCTCTCTCCTCGAAATACCAATCGTGACTGCTCTGCTCATCCAAACACTCATCCATATTCCCAAACAGATGACAGAAGTTTAACTATAGTCAGCATTGACGTTGATTGTACATAGCACGAGCGTTCTCGTATAGATTCAGCTTAGCGTGTTTGTCGTTTAACTAGCTGAGTAAAGCCGGCCAACGCCGTAATTACCCACTCATGCACTTGCGCCCCAGATGATCGACCGCAGGTACTGTAGCTGCCCAAGCTATGGGTCCCCCCATCTGTACTTGCAGCCTCACACTGGCGACGCTGCACCTTTCGGCGCCTTGAACGAGAAAAAAACGTAAAAAGACTCATCCGCCGCATCGTGACATCAGGCGGCTGGGGTGCATGGACTCGATGGCGGTCAGGTACGGGCTTCCGGCTGACGCGAAAGCGAAATCAAGGCTGTGGCTGTGTACCTGGATGACCTCCCCCAGACACAATCAAGGGTACGAACGAAGGAAGGATGAATGACAGCTGTTGCCATGGCAGAATGTCAGATGAAAAACCCTCGGGAGGCAATCATGTTTTGTTTGTCGCTCATCCGGCGTACGTAGGTGACGCCCGTCACACAGCTGACG